TATCATCATTATCATCATTAATGCCATTATTATTACCATTGATATCATTATTGTTTTATTATTGTTATTATGTAATTAATATTGATATTCTTATTATTATTATCAATAGTATTATCATTATTGTTGTTGTTTTTGTTATGTTATTGTTTTTGCTACTGTTATTATCATCATTGTTGTTATTATTTTTGCTATCATTATTTTTTTCATCATCATTATCATTATTATCACCATCATCTTTTATTACCATCAGTATTATTATCATTATCATTATTTACTACTATTTTCTTCATATCATCCTTACCATCCTTATTCTATTCTCGTTATATTCCCCTTCAGCCTCATTTGAATGAAGGGAATAGATAGGACCTATGAATACCCGGTAAAATTTAAACTGTTTCTCCCTCCAAAAGTTTTAAGGTGAAAGAACTGTCATCAAGATGCGTCACGAACTCACTTTAAATTAAACATGGGTAGCGAACCCGTAGACTTCAATCATTACCAAATAAGATCAGGAGATGAGGGTGAACTTTGAATTCGTAATGTTCACTCTAGAAGCCGTAGGAGCGAGCACTTTCCTGGAATTTCGGTTTAAGTTTCTCAATTAACATGTTAATTGAATACGGACATGACTTTCCCTTGGGGGGAGCATGGGTGGGTGTTAGTTAGGAAGTGTTTGCCACTTTTAGTTGTTAGCACACAGTGGTACGAAGGCACCTAGAATCAATGGGATTATTCTAATGGTCGCTCTGAGGTAATGTGGTGCGCTCGGGTGTTATTTATTCATTAAGAGGATTATGAGGATATTCCGTGCGTTTCTATCTTAGTTGCTCTATCGCGATGGAGGAGCTGTTGATTTGCTTTCCAAACCTTTATTTGCGTCTCTCTCTCTCTCTCTCTCTCTCTCACTCATTCTCTCTCTCTCTCTCTCTCTCTCTCTCTTTCTCTCTCTCTCTCTCACTCCTCATTCACTCTCTCTCTTCTCTCTCTCTCTCTCTCTCTCTCTCTCTCTCTCTCTCTCTCTCTCTCTCTCTCTCTCTCTCTCTCTCTCTCTCTCTCTCTCTCTCTCGATTTATGTTTTCTAGTACTATCTTTCTTTTCTTGTTTTGTGTTTTGAGACAAAATGAACCCACTTTCCTTTGCCTTATGGTGATATATGTACATCCATTTGCATAGATATGGAAGTCCTCTGCGCAAATGGTGGTGATGGGTGTGGCTGAAAGGGACACGTGAAAGGGTTGAAAAAAGTACGCTTGATTCGTTCAGAAATGTTAACCTTAAAACAAGATGACCCTTTTGCCCAAGATATTACGCTAGATACTTTGATAGTGAGGCACCTTGCCAGACTGATGTAACTAGTGCACAGAAGGTAAGATAGATTACCTCAGAGGTAAGCTAGATAAGCTACTAAAGCCAATTCTAACCTTTAACCTCACCCCGGGCATCAAGAATGAATGCTGTTATATATTTTGTCATTTTCTACGTGTATACTACTACACTACTGTATCTTTATAATTTGATGTTTTAATAGCTTTTATATTCTCTGCTAGTTCATTGTACTGACATACACTTGATTCTCTCGTACGAGTACATGCGTCCGCTATCTGTGGAACTTCCATAAAATTCTTTGGTTACTAAGTATTAATCTATCTCCACCTGAGGACAATAGTAAGCCTGTGCATCCATCTGGAGCGTTCCTAAACTGAACTCCATTAATCAGGTAATGGCCATCAACTCCCTTACAGTCGTTGATATGCCATCAAAAGGTTTTCACGGGAAATGTTGACAGTCATTTAAGTTGTGATTATCTGTGCAAAGAGAAAAGCTTGCATCTTGCGTATGTGTGTATGAAGATTTAACAGTAGAATTTTCCGCCGGGTCTTCCTCTGGGGAAATGAGTACAGAGTGTGTATGCGTGACTATGTAATATTCAGGTATCTTGCAAAATATGTAATTTTAGATGTAGCACACAAAAAGTAAGGTACTGGCTTATCCTGAGACGAGAAAGTCCGCTCCCCTATTGTATGAAGCAGTTGTGCATACCGCGTGTTCATTAAATCGTAATTCAATCTCAGTGTTTCCAACTATCGCATGTTCTAGCTGTAGTAGCATATCGAGTACACAGAGACCATAAATGTGCTTCATTAGACCATATATCATCACTATTTCGTGTGCTATTATGCTTCTATAATCCATGTTGATAGACCACATATAAGTATTATAGACCACATATAACGAACTGCACAAGGTTCAAACATTTAGACCGGAAGGCTTTCAGGAGAATCCACGTGCAACTCTAAAGGGGCTAAATGCTCCTCAATGCTACCCTCGCATAGAACACTAGAAATGAAAATACGAGTGACTCCCTTCGTCCCAGCCATTACAGCACAACATCTCTGATCAAGGGTTGTTTCCTGCTGACTACGGATGGTTTGAAATTGGAAACTCTCTATGGCTTGACGGACTTGTAATTTCTGATGCTTTGGTCAGAGGCGGTGACAGTATTCAGGTCGACGGTGACAGATGTCTGACAATAATTGCAGAGAGTCAGCCAGAGGAAGGTTCCATACAAGCCGAAATTAATGGTGAACTCAGTGATTGTGACCATTTTCGACGAAGAAACGGCGATAGTATTCTCCACGAGGAGTCGTATACACACGCTATTTCCTGCTAATCACTATCTGACAAACGGTACAAGAACACGCTTTAATACCTGTCTTGACTTAAATATCTTTACAGCTAGGTAGCTAAGGTTTCGTTCAGTTTATTTCATATCATGTTCGAAAATTGCATATGCATTTCTCTCTTTTTTTAAATTGCGAGTAGAAAATATATGAGCGGTTAACTTTGTAATAATATACCAGTACTAATAATTTCGTTTTCTGATTTTTCCAAAAAACATTGAAACCAGAGGTATGATATATACAATATAAAGGCAATTACTGTATGTCTTAATCTCACCATATTGATATTTTAGCGGCAGCTGTGAGATCCAACTCAGGTTCGCCCTTTCTTTTCTCCACCTGGCCATAGACTCCACCGGGATGTGAAGGAAAAGTAATTGATTGGAAAAGGATATCAGAGTTTTTGTCTTTATCTTCGAGGGCATCTGGAAGCTAGGAATACTCCACCACTCAAAATTTCTGGCACTTATGATATTTGGTTTAGCTGGGTTCTAAGCTAAGCTGCCTTATTTTTTGTGCATTAGTTATATCACTCTGGCTGGCGTATCCAAGGATTAGAAATGTCTGGTGGCACCCATTCGTGGTATCTTGGCACATGATAAAATTTTTGACACCTGCTTCAACGGGAAAAAATACTTTTTCAAAAGGAAAATTATAACACCTGCTTCTACATAAAAAATGACACCTTTAACAGGAAAAAATGACACTTGTTTCAACAGGAACATTTCTGACACTT